TCAGCGCTATATAAAAATGACCGGAATCAAACGAAAACCGATCATGGCCAGGCTGAGTCTCGATTTTGTGCAGTCGGTACCTTATGACCCGATGCATCTTCTGCTATTAGGTTGGGTCAAGCACATCATTTTGCTGCCATCTGGGATACACCCCAAGGCCAAACTATCACCATTGAATTATGGATCAACGGATATCTCACACATAAATGAATCTCTGAGAGATGGTGGAAATGGTATACCGGCAAGCTGGGGTCGCCCAACTCTGTCCATAGAACATTTGGAATATTTCAAGGCTGAGGACTTTAAGGCGTTTGGGCTATACTATGGGCAAATTTTGTTCTCCGTCTCACGCTGTTCGAAAGAAATGCAAGAGCTTTGGACGAAGACAGCAAGGGTCTTAGAGATTGTGCTCGATCCAACACCACTAAAGCGAGACGTGACTGCGCTTCGCGATTTTGTAGAGCGCTTGCGCGAACTTTTCTGTGACTTGTTCTATCAGGAAGATGCGCAATCGTTTTGTTTTACTCCAACAACCCACGCGATCTTGCATCTTCCTGATATGATGGAGGAGTGTGGTCCCCTTCTCAATGTCTCACAGTTTGTGGTCGAAAGATTTGTTGGCGAAACAGGTCCTCTTGTTAAATCCCGGACAAAGGCAGAGACGGACATGTTCAACAAGCATATGAAGCTTTTTTCTTTGAGACTGCTCAGAAGCCTTGTGACGGACAGTGAACAGCCAGAAGAAATGTCAGACTGTGAATACGGTAGTGATTCCGGTACTTTTACGGATTTCGAAAGTGGCCGCTGTAATACGAGCAATTGTGAGTACAAAGACAATGGTCGTATGCGAGGGAAAGGCAAAGTGGTTCGAGGGAAGGACAGACTCCGAGCAAGTCTTTCCTACGTCGAGGACAAACTTCCCATTACAGCTTACGACGTGGATATAAGAACGCTGAAATCGTTCAAGCGTGCAGTGCTCGGCGGTTATAAAACGTCTTTTGTGGCTGAGACAGAGCAAGTGTTCCAAAACAGATGTAACAGAGGGGTCTACAAAACGCCAAGGCAGAAGTTTTGGGTCGCTGGGCATTTCATGAGACAAGCAGAATATGATTCACATGAAGAATCAAGCAAACAGTCTGTGACAGACGTTTATTACGGCTCGGTGAATGAGTTTTGGGAAATCTCATTCACATATCGCACGCCGTCAGAGCAGCTCAAAAGAGTAGGGCAGCTTGAAGCTGCGAGAGTTGACTGGAGGTACGGTCTTAAGTTGGATGCAATGAGTAGAATACCGTTTACCAAACTTGGAAACGGTCGCAAGGGAACGATTCGGGAGAAGGTGAGGAGCGTGGAAGGCTTGTCATGTATCAACAGATTAATTGGGTACCTAGACCACGACGGCTGTAGGTATTTTATCGACCCAGAAATGAAACTCCTGCGAGCTGGTACGGATTTCATACTGCGCGGCATCAATTGAGTAATTTATTGGGCTGACCTGATGCTGCCGCCGCATTAGGGGCTGGGATGACGAGCGCGCCCAAGCTCATGTGGGCCGCGAAGGCAACCTCCTCTTCTCCGCACGCAGGACACTGTAACTGGCCACTCAACTCGCACGCCTCTCATGGCTACCCTACTCCATCTACAGCACAATCCCATTGTGCACAATCTCACCACGTGCTCCCCACCTCCCAATCGCATAGTCTACAAGCGCCCATCAGAGTTCGAAATGGAGAGTGTCAGAGATGCTTTAGACCTCTCCAGACCCCTGGTGATGAATCATCCGGAATAAGGGTGAAAGGAAAATCCAGCTCACAAAAAGAGCGGGAAGTGACTTTCGTTTCAGAAATGCTTTGTTTGAAATGCGCCTATTTAACAACCTAACTTTCCCCTACAACAGGAACCACCAGCTACGAAAAGCCAATTCAACTTCAATAACCCAGAACAAAACAGTTCGAATTCTGCGATGCAGCAACGCAGCCGAGTTCGTCGTAAAGAGAAACCGTGTTGCAATGGACAAAGTGTTCAGAACAAGCAGGGTAATCAGGCCACCGTTGGGGAGCTCGAGATCAGATGCCTTCGTCTTCCAGGCAAACAAGGCCGTCGAAATGGCAGATCTGGCTGTCAGTTGTCGACGCGGGAGGTATTCAACCGCATCTACGGTGAATGGAAGGGTACACCGTACGACAAGACGGAAAACCAGGCACCGCTGGATTCTGAAACTCACCGTGCAGCGTGTCGCCTCATTCGACAGACGCTATACGGGGCGCGCAGCGAGGACCCGAGAGCAACATTCTCTGGGTTTGCACTGAAAAAAGGTGTTGAAACTTGGAACAATATCCAAATATCTCATGCGTTGGATTTGGCAAATCTGAAGAAGACTCTGGAGCGTCGCTTCAATGTCCTTGCGATGGCTGTGAACTACTGGGCTGCTGAGTGGCTTATCATGGAAGTACTACGCCGTGACAAAGTCCGAAAAAGGTCAAGTGCTAATCTTTCTCATCAGATCTCTTCACAAAGTGGTACGGCATCGAGAATCCGCGATGATCTTCATCCAGAGAGAAACACAGTCCAAGGATCTCCTGACGCACCAATGAGCGATAGCGGGGGTGAGGACGAATCCGGCTACGAACAAGCTCCAGTGGCGCCCTGCGGGGACCTGCGCAGGAATGTGAAAAGGAAGCGTCCCAGCCCTGTATTGTCAAGCGAAGAGGACGAAGACGAGGAATACCTCACGGCTCTCCGAGTTATCGAGAAGCGCAAGCGCCGAAAGCGTGAGCCCAGAAAGCGATTGGAATTGAAATTCGAAGACTCTGCGTAGTGCATGTGTTAGTTCGCCTGTGCTACCTGGACAAAAATTTCTTTAGATGCAAACTAGCATGCATTAAAACAAGTTTTGATAACGTCCACGTATTGCCCATAATGGAATAGCGACGAACAGCGGCAGCGCAAGTGGGACTACACGAGGTGTGGCCGACATAGGCTGTTGTGGATGGGTCTAGCGCATCGGGGGATGATGACGGGGGGGGGGGGGTAGTGAGAGTGTCGGTATGTTGACCGGGGGTGCAGGTGGAGGACGGTATAGACGAAGGGCACATGTGAGGCTGGTCAGGGATGTGAGGGCGTCGGCGAGCGGGGTGCGGACACGTGAAACATCGAGGTCGAGGCTGAACGCGTGACCCACGGCGACGCACGCGGGAGCCCAGCCTGCGTCCAGTGTGGTAGCATTGTGTAGAAACCGGCGCGCGACCTTGGTCTTCCCGCACGCCAGTAGTATTAGCTGACGGCCATCCAGCTGACGGCCCTCTTCGGATTGCGGTCCACAAGCGAGTGGGCTTCTTGCAGACGATGAATAACGGCACCCGACTTGCGAAATTCGACGAGCAATGGGGAGATGAGGGAATGCACTCCGGCGGCACTCCGCATGAACTACGGCGGGGGGATGCTACTGCGGTGGCACTCGGCATGTGATACGACAGCACTGCACGTTTGACCCAGAGTTCCGCCCTGTTGTACCTACTGTTACATACACACTACGTAAATACTACGATGGCATCCCTAGTCCTCCGATCACACTGCAGGTAGCCTACGAACGCCTACAGTATGGTTGCTAGGGTTCCTGCCAGCTCAGCTACAGCCAACAGTCTTGCATCCTCGTCATCCGCGGTAACGAGGGTCTTTCGAGAGGTACTTATATCGCGCGCTACGCGTGGCTGTATCTCATACCTAAAAGAAATCAAAAAATCAAAAATATATAAATAAAATAAAAATAAAAAATAAATCAGATTGCGCTTCGATAGCGGGGACTCCCCGCGAACCGAAAACAGCAACGCCGAGGGGCTCAGTGAGCCCGCCGCATCCGGGGCTACCGTTCCTCTTACATATCGCAGTCCCTCCCACTGCTCTGCACTCCATCTCTCCGTACTTACCCCTCGCCCCGCCGCAATCCCGCACTAACCCGCCCGTTCCGAAGATGCCCTCCGCCACCGCTGACTCACCGCGCCTACTCTCGCAGCTCTCCGCCCCGCACAACACCTCACAAACATCTCTGAACTCCATCCTGCACACGCTTGCCACCGACTTGCTCGCCCCCACCGCCCGCATGCAGAATCGCTCTCTGTGCCGTCCGTCGTCCAGCCTCGCCCGCCAATGAAGTGGCTCTTCCTAGCAGCGACCCCAACTACTTCTACAAAGACGGCCTGTGGTGCTGTAGGCACCGCCACTAGTATCGATCGAACCCCCCCGCGACCCCCGAAAACAGCAACGCCATGCAGCTCGAAACACCAGCCCGTACCTTCCATGTTGCGTTTCACAGTCCCACAGTCCCTCCCGCATTTGTCCCCTCGGCTTCTACATCAAAAAGGTAAGCTCTTGTGACCGTCAACATCCCTCACCCAGCTCGCCGACAAACTTGGCATCTCCTTAACTGCTTCTATCTTCTTTGATATTACGAGGTGTATCTCCACGGGAGCTCTTCATATGAAAGGGTTTGTTTGTTATTCAGCTTCTGATTTGGTGTCTGCAACACCATCGATTCACGCCTTTCTAACAGCATCGATTGAATTCCTTCTTAGTCTCTCACTGCGCTACCGATCACAAACTCCCATATATTGGACTTGGCGAATTCCAAACTTTTCCTCATTCCGCTTCTACAGGTAAGACGTTTCAGTCCATTGCCATCTTTTTACCGCCTCGCTCCTTCATGTTTCTAATATTGCCATCACCGCAACCTTGTTTCTGTTCCCATTGCTCTATGCCCATTGGAATTAGCAGGCCAGCGCCACCACGGTATCACAGTCCGCAGCCGGTGGTCATGGCAAACCCACAGATGTGGCGGTAACAATGTGTCGCTTTGCCACGGCTGGAGATTCTTCATGAATTGCTCGGTTGCGCTTTGGGCCTCCCCATGGAATGACGAACTACAGAAATGGGTCCTTCCAGGTTCGTCGGAAGCGAGATCACAGACCTGTGTCCAATGCTAACTTTAACTTTCGTTTATGAGTCTATGTTTCTGCAAATGATTCCACAACGTGTTGGCCCCGATGTGCACTGGCACCTCCGTGATTTTGCAGTTGATTCATTCTGCTTTTTGTAAGGGGGCAAATCGGCACAGTCGGCTGCAGCAACGATGAGACAGGAGTGTGCACGCATGACCCACTGCCCTGTATTGCCTGGACGTGCACCTGTGGCACCCCCGTGAATACTTTTGCACTTTCCGCCTCCGCTGTGTATGTGTCTCTGTATAACAGGGGCGGGGCGGAGGCGTACGCGTTGTAAAGGTGTGGGTTTCGGCTTGGCAACGGAAATGCGGGGGGCGCGAGCGGGGTGCAGCAGCGGGCGGGGAAGGTGTGGCTGCCAAGCGACGCGGCGTGGCGCTGCGCGGCGAAAGGAGCAGGGTCGGGAGGTCCGGGCGGCGGAAGTGGGTACAGGGGTAGAGAGACGATCCGGAACGGGAGCGGAGGGCGGGGGGAAGGGGGAGCAAGGTGGAGGCGAGGGGCCGCAGGTGGAGATGGAGCGGCAGGGCGGTCAGCGGCGAGGCGTCGACGAGAGCGGAAGCGTGGCGTGGACGGGGGCGGAAGCGAGGCGGCGCCATGTATACGCCAATGCGGCGTTTCCAAGGCCTCACCCCCGCCCTCCGCACTGGGCTCCATACGGCGGCGCAACGTAGGCTTCTCCGCCTTCTCCCCGCACCCGAAAGGCAGAATTAGGGAATTCGCGCGTGCAGATAAGGAGAAAAAGAGAAGGAACATGGGCAACACGAACAGAGGGCGGAGAAAGTTGGGAGAATGAAAGCAGACCACGAGCGCAATGCAAAAACCACGAAACGGGTAAGGGAGAAGGCAACGCCGCAAAAGAATTGTCCAGGGCGGCCCCTGGTGCCGGTTCCAGCACCAGCATTAAACAGTGCCCTGCACCCAGTGGGTGCATCCAGAAAATAGCACTCTAACACTTTACCATTGTATGATAGTTTCAAAAATTGATTGTCCCCACCACTCTTGCACTCCATCACTGCCCTTCCGTGGCGGTTCCACCCCAGTTGGAACATGTTGCGAACTGTACACCCACTCGCACCCCCACTCGCCGACAACCTCCCCATCCCCTAATCCCAAAGCGAGCCACACCTTCCTCCTCAAACCTGGCGCCCGCATTCTGACTCTGTCATCTCAACATGGCATCCCTTTTGGACGGATCCGATCCTCCCTCTCAAGGTACCCCTTTCCCTCAGCCACCATCCACGCCAAACTCCCCACGCACCCCCAAAAAACGCTCGACACCTGACCAGGGGGAGCTCAGTACTGGCGAAGGGAGCAACAAGAAGTATACTGTTTAGCAGTAAGGGCTTCGTGATATTTACGGATACAAGGAAGTCGGAGTCTTTCCCGAACGAGAGAAGCACGCGCCAAGGAGTGGACCGCTGTGTGCGAGGGCTAATAATGGCTGGGTGGAGGTACTTTGGGTTCTTGTTGCGATGACGGCGCTTGCGGCGCATTGTTGTCCTCCTCCGGGCGACAAGACATGTCGTCAGAGCTGCTAGCGATACTGCTAGAGCTGCCAGAGTGTGCTTGCGGCTGTTCTGAAAGGGCATTGGCGAAGCGGGCATCACCGACAGCTCGAGAGAGGGGTCTTGGAATGTGGAACTCCAGTGCGCAAGGATGGAATGGGAAGTGGTGCGGGAGTGGTGGAGTGGAGGGTCTTAGCTCTGTTGTAAATAAAGATGTAAGGTATATGATAAGGTACACATTAAGTTAAACAAACGGCATACACCGATGCTGTAAGTAAAGAGACGTTAAATTAAAACAAAGGACAAATTACAGTTACAACGCTGCTTACAGTAAATGTTTACTCGGTAAAATTCCTAAGTAAACATTTACTCGCAAGCAGATTAACATTTACTCGGTGTCGAGTTGATGGTTGCAAGTAAATGTTTACTAGGTAAAATTCCTGAGTAAACATTTACTCGCAGTCAGATTAACATTTACCCGGTGTCGAGTTGATGGTTGCCAGTAAATGTTTACTAGGTAAAATTCCTGAGTAAACATTTACTCGCAGTCAGATTAACATTTACCCGGTGTCGAGTTGATGGTTGCAAGTAAATGTTTACTCCTTAACATTCCTGGGTAAACATTTACCCGCAACCAGGTTAACATTTACTGTATGGCCTTTAATGGCTTACGAGACATGTCATACAGTCATTATAAACTGAGTGACATGTGATTGTTTATTCGACGATATGATATCGAGTATAGGTTTACTGTTCCTCGCTTTGCTTGACAGTTAACGTTTACTTACGGATAAAAGCGGGCGAAACCGGAACAATCCTCTCGTATTGCTGCGAACAGTTCGATTTTTAGATTCCATATAAAAAGGGACCCGAAGTTTTTTATATCGAGCGCCCACCATCATTCTCACGGACGTCACTCTTTTGTTTTCTTGCGCGTTGGTTTTTTCGAAATCGTCACTCTTTTGTTTTCTTGCGCTTTGGTTTCTTTCACACTTGACCGCTTGTTGTTGTCAAGAACGGGTGTGGTATGTGTCGCTCTGTGTTTCGTTTTCTAGACAGACAAATCGGGGATCTGACATTTCAACTGATTTTTTAGCCTCCGAGTTGTGTCTGACCGACATGTGCAGGCAGGAAAAATAGCGCGATCTGCGTCCGTCGAGGCCGAGAGGACAGAGTCGACCCCTCACGGGGTCGATCGCCAGGTGAGAAATCTGACCTTGGCGGGGCTATAGCCACAGCTGGTGAGCCCGCTAGGGCCTTCGATACGCTTCAAGAAAGGGAGCCCTCGGCAGAAAAAGAAAGCCTCGAGGCGTGGAGCCAACTCAAAGTGTCCCCACTTCCATAACCCCTTTTTCGCTACACGTCCAGTCTCAGTTCTAAAGCCCGCAAGTTGCTACAGGGCGCTGTATGAGTCTGTCGAGGCTGTGGGGCTATCCCGCTGTCAAGCACCAAACGAAGGATGACAGGCCCTCTCCGAGTTTGGCTTCCCCAGTGAAACGAAACGCCGCCGTCCTTGCATGTAAAGGCCTCCATGCTGTCGTTTCTATTAAGTGGAAGTAAGCAATGATATCTTAAACGAAAAAATAGCGTGAACTTTATTTGGAATGCAAGATCATATATCCCCTTTCCTACGCCTTTGAATGCATGGACTATGCGCTGCAACGCGTTTGGGGAAAGCAGTTCCAAAGATTTCGAACCTACGCTCATGAATGCGGAATCCTATTTCTAGCATGCCGCATAGTAGTAAAATGGTTCTGCTCGCTGTGCGAAAACCATGTGCAAATCGAGCTGTCGGTATGGCATGCTCATATTGAAGTTAGCGCCCCGAACAATTGGCTGCCAAACACACAAGTTGATACTGTCCTTGCATCACGTGCAGGGCCTTTCCGGGGGCGCAGCAGGATCTGAAATGTTCACATGTAGCGTGTGTTTATGTTGCGTTTGGCAACCTGAAAAGGGGGGTGCAAATCTCATAATGAGTTTCGAGTACCAAAAAAGGGGCTCCAAACTCATTTTGAGTTTCGAGTACCAAAAAAAGGGGCTTGAAACTCATAATGAGTTTCGAGTACCAAAAAAAGAGGCTTGAAACTCATAATGAGTTTCGAGTACCAAAAAAGGGACTTGAAACTCATAATGAGTTTCGAACCCCCGAAAAAAGGGACTCGAAACTCAAAATGAGAATGGCCTCGAATCATGCGCAGGGGCGTTTCACGGGCAGGGCAGGTACTGTACTGTTCACATGCACAGTATTCTCATTTTGAGTTTCGAGTACCAAAAAGGGGTTCGAAACTCATTTTGAGTTTCGAGTACCAAAAAAAGGGACTCGAAACTCAAAATGGGTTTCGAACCCGCAGAAAAAGGGATTCGAAATTGAAGTTGAGGTTTAGACCTACAGTAATTGGTACAGTATGAGTATCTGTACCAGCATCTCTTTGTCCGTTTTTTATTTTAGTCTCACTTGTAGTTTTTTTGAACTCTTTCTACTTCGTCAAACCTATGAGAAGCTTATCTGCCGTGCTGTAGTCAGTTGCGCCCTTTCAAAAAGAGTTGAAATTTTCTTTGCCAATGACGGGTGATGGATTTCTCGACAAACGTCGAACCATGCAATGGACGTTGAGAGTGATTCATCGTTCTGGCAGTGATGTACGGGTACCCGGACTGTACAGCGTACGATAAAAAGAGTTCTATCCGTTCCGGTTCTATCTAAAGTGATCAGCATAATGACCGGGCCACCCACAAGGGCAACCCACTAAAATGGGGGTCCGCTAAAACGGGACTAAAATCATGATGTACTGTATCTATAAAAATACGTAACAAGGATATTAAATGTCATGGATGCAGCACTTCGCGAGAGAAGCGGCCCTGGGCTTCGTATGAGACACCGGTTACGCACCCACGTACCTACGGTACCTCGCTTACTCGTGCTGGATCTTCCAGCCTTCAACTTCTTTTGCATTTCTGACTGAATGAATAGAGAATCAAAAGCCTGCAGGTTTCTGGGAGTACAAAAACGTCGCTTCGCTTTATAGGAGGTCTCACGCGTCTAGAGATGAACTCCGTTGATAGGCATGTAGAAAAATCGGGACCCAAGAAAACCCCAGAAAAATCAGATAGAAAAGGGTTCAGGGGATAAGGTCTGCTTGTCTTGCAGTCCACAGCTGTGTGGCTCTTTAGAAAGAATGCAAGTCGTACATATCGACATTTTTACTTACCCGACATGAAAATTATGAACCTTGTTGTCTAAGTTCCACGATACAGCGATATATCCTTTGAGTGCGAAGGCGTTTTTGAGCCATTTTCATTGACGGAATATGCTGTTCAGAGTATGAGCTCATTACCAACCTGCAGAAACCGACGGCGGTCTATCGTACCAGCTGAAGATACGGAGAACATTGTGAGAGAGAGAGTAATGTGGCCTCGTGTATGTGAATTCTTTCATGAATCTACCGATGATTTCCTTCGTGGTATTGGGTTTTCATGTCATCCCGAAGACTTAAAGGAAAATGACGCATTTGAAGAACTATGTTCTAGGTCGATCCACTATTTGCGTGATGTCGTAGCCACCACAATTTCGAAAACACTGGACAGGAAGACGTACAAGAAAAGCTATATGCCTGCCGCACGTTCGCAACATGAGCGTAGAATAACTGCCCGCATCGTGAACCTTGCATGGTCAATATCGGTGGGTAGTGACGAACCTTATTCTAACTGCAGCGATGATGGGGTTAACTACGCATGCCAGCACCTCTTCGCCAAACATTCCCTGTTAAAAGCAGTGGCTGGGAGCCTGCCTCGGTGGTTGCGCTTGTTGTCTCCTTTTACTTTTCTCTTCATTCGTCTCTGTGCGATAGACTGCCACGTTATTTGGCAGAATGTTATCAATCATGAGGGGTTTGGTATTCAAAATACTCCCGACATGGTTGATTCGTTTCGTGAAGACAAGTTCAACATCCGCGATGTGGTTGAAAAGGTCAAGAATCGAGTTCAAACACAACTTCTGTCCATTCGTCTCGGATTCGTTCACAACGGCGACATTTCCATCGATGTATATGATCCTGCCGCTGTCGACGCTGGCCAGCTTGCAGATAGTGAGGTTTATAGTGATGACATAAGCGAAGAATTAGACCGTGTCGCTGGACTTGTTGTCGC